AATAAAGTAATAGGGGTTAACAAATAACTCAAAAGTATCGTGTTACGTAATCTATTAACTAAATTGACACTTTTAAAAAATTAAATATTAGACGACGAAGCAATTTATACGCTTACGTATGACGATCGTTTTTAATAAAAAGAATATATTTAATCTTGCCTGAATAAATTACTTAATACTCGTAAAAGTGGAAAATTTACTTCGTTTATTGAAAAATTTGTCAAGTTTATAACTGACATCACATTACTTTATAATTTTTTGATCAAAAGTTCAGGAAAATTTTTCACCGTCGCGTCAGTCCAATGTCATTTTATCGACAAAATCTTTTAGCTCATTCCGGAGTGTGAGTCAAAGCGCACCCCTCGATTCTCAAAGGGTCACGTTATCGATATCGTCGAGGTCACAATATTAACGAGCTATATTTCTACATCAGTATCTAGTCAGCTACGTTATTATTTATGTCATGCAACGGCTCAACTGACAAGACAAGAAGCAGGAAGAAAAAGGAAACTATCAACATCGATACCGCGCTTCCTGAATAATTCATTAAATTGTAATTAATTCTATTTAGAAGAGCGGATCGCGTTCGCATCGTGAAGCGACGCATATCCGCGCGCGCGCGCGTGCAATGCGGATCACGTGTAGAATTAAGTGTGTATGTATAACGTTAATTTTTGGCGCAACATTAAATTGGATGACACGCTTCGCAAGTGCGTCGCGTGAATGTGACATCTCCATATCGAATTATTATTTCCACGTAATTCGCGTACTACCACAATCTATCATCCGACTCACGATGAGGGTATCCGTGCAAGCAACACGATCTCTCTTCCGAACGATATATTAATTTAAAAGCACCCCCCATTAACGAAAGGTTGACTACAAGGCAAGAGGCTTCATTCATGTATAACACCTGTGCCGGCGCGTAATCTGCACCTTTGGCCATCAAACTCAAACATTACACCCATTATAGCTTATATCCGTGTTTGCATAATAAACGATGCCTATTCCAAAACCGAACGAGTCCCTAGCTTCGATGTTTTTTTTCCGTGAAAAGATACGACGTTGTCTTCTTCCATTTCCACCTTTAAATATTAATGCGGCAGAAACGCATGTAAACATATTATGCTTTATTTACCAAGGATGAAAATTCCATTAACGCGAATATAACTTTCATCCCCTTGTCGCTGGAAGTTCGTTAAAAACTTTCAGAATATCAACATACGAACGATATTACAGCACATCTAAAGGAGAAATTGCACGTGAATTTCTCTGAATATTAGGAATACAGATTGTATTCTAAATAAATCACGTAGCATCAAAACAATATTATTCTTTCTCTGTCCATAAGCAGGAGAATCGCAGAAAAATAACAAATATATATCATAATATACGTTTTATACACATTCTATGTATTATACAGAGTGTACTTACTTATCACTCGTTAATAGCAGATTCTTGAAATCATTTGGAGACAAAAATTGTAATGCCAAAATGTCAAGGCTGCCAATATGTCATCCCGATATTCGTCGGTTTTGCGAACAGAGTGTACAAAGAAATAAAGTGAATAATAATTTCAAATATCTCTATCGAGTTAAGTAAAGTGTGGAAGAGCCGTTTTGACATGCGACGTCCCTGAGTTCGTAAAATTTCGACAAGCACATGAGTGAACTTTAAACCTTCCCCGTTCAAACATTGTAGTAGCCTCGACATTTTGGCATTAGGATCTTTGTCTCCAAATAATCTCAACAATCTACCATTAACGGATGATACGGTAATTCTGGTACACCCTGTATATTTATATTATATATCTTATATAATTTTCTTTCTCTTTCTAGACAAATAAAATTATTTGTGATTTTATCTAATTAAATTTGAAATATCTATTGAATAATAAAATAAAAAACATATTTAGAAGTACAACTTTCAAAAATGCAGACAGCATTATATTTTAAATAGAAAAAAATAAATATTTAAAACACACAAACAAAAATATACCTATATAACAAATATAACAGATGTTTTCTCCAAAATTTAATTCGTTGTATAAAATATAGTGTTTCACATCAAGTATCTCTATTGAATAGATAAGTTTGAAATTCGGTGACCGGAGAGATATCCGGTACAAGTCGTTATTTATGTCATGTCCCTGATTGCTGCCGCGTACGATAGAACCCAAGATAGAATCCAATTCGATTCTACGAACGAATTATAGCGTATGATCCGTTGATTACTCACACCGCATTGACCGAGGTAAATTCGTTTAATCGTTTTCGCGTGTTCGATGTTAAACGTACACAAACGCAATACACGCCGATGCGTAATTGCTTTATAAAGCTCACTTTAGACGTTGTATAACTCTCAGAATTCAGGATATAGAATTCAATTTATATCTCCATGTGTCGCATAATACAAAAAACGCGAAGAATCAGAACACAAATATATAAAAATCTATTATATTAAAATATACGACATATAAAAGTATAAATACAATTTTTCCTAAAACCTGACGCAAACTGACGTAAACTGACGCATAGATAGTCCAAAATTTAATATAAGCATGCGGATATACATAAGCTCGTCCTTGTCATCAGTTTCCTAGATAGTACAATGAGTTTTGCATGGTTGTTTCATAAGGTTCCTAAACCTCCTCCATGTAGACTTTCTGCATGTAAACAGCGATAAATTCAAAGACAATTTCTTCATCATCTCTATAATAGCAAACTATTTGCCTCGAAGTTTCTGAGTTAGCGTTGAATCGCTTAGTAATTAAGACTCCAATCAAGATTTCGCTGAAGTATTTCAAAAAGACAAGTTTGTGCGGAGAGCGAACAATTCGAATAATAATTTCAAATCTTTGAAATACTTTTATTATTAAAAACCTCGCAGGAACGCATACAAGTATTGTAAGCTAAAACAAATCGTACGATAATACATTGTCGGAACGTCAGAAACTTCTGTTATTACGGTTAACGAATAAAGCATTCCGTTTCCGTGGAGAAAAAAAAAAGATTAAATCACAATCTGAAAATTCCAAAGCTCCGTAAGGAGGCAGGGGCAGATAATAATAATGTAGAGGAATATTCCATCAGGAATGTCCCGCATTTCTCAGCCTTGGTTAACGGCAATTTACTTGTCGAGCTTTCCAGGGTAATAACTGCCCATCCTTTTACTCGGTACGTTCTGCACAGGCTTTTAAAGAACACTAAATAATTTACGCATACCGTTGAGAAGATGGCAAAATCATATTTTTGTTCACTGACTATTTTTGCCCGTGGATACTCTCCGCGTCACTTGTAACGTATTTATCTGCCAGCGCTCAAGAAAAATAACTGAATTTGTTGTGTAATCAGTGAATATCAATAATTAAGCAACTAGAGTTACTACGAGAGAAAGGAATTCGCTTATTACAACTCCGTCGACGTCCAGCCTCCACGTAACATTATCCATAATTATCTTTTGCGCTAATTAGTTATTAGCGAGACGTTTTAATAAACGAGCAGTGGCGAAAAGCACAGTTCGTTGCGCAATGATGGTGAATGATGGGACATTGTAACCGAGTATCGATTTTGGATACCGCTTCTTTCGTGTAAGTACGTTTTAAAAGCTGCTCTTCAAGGTGTCTTGAGGAAATTTTCATTTGCGCGATAAGTTACCTCCGTGCGAATCCCGATTTTATTTTCTCCACAATTACTTATTGTTCTGTAATCCCAGATGACTTTGATTACATCACGTACACGTGTGAAACGTACAATGAACGGGGGGTAACGTTTAAATTAAATGAATTTTAGTCGCACAATGGCACTGGTATTTAATGCAGTGGATGTATTACACCCACGCATTTCCACTCGAGAAGTTTGACAAAATGTGGACGCGCACTGCTAGAAAGCTTCTGGGAAAAGCGGATTTAAAAATATGCAACTTGTTAATTTACGAATAAATCGTATAAATCGTATATGTCCAAGTTCAGTTCACGTGCTAGCACACACACACGTTAAATCTTCTGCGGTAAAACTTATAATCTACATAATCATACGACAGAATGTAATAAGGCGTACGCTGAAATTAACATTTCGAATAATTATATGAAGAAAGCATTTGCTTTAATATATAAAGCATAAAAAAATAATACATAAAAAATGAAAATATATACAGAAAATCGTCATAATTTGTAAAAATGGTAAGAGCAACATTAATGTAGATAGCAAAATTAAAAGAAAAAACTTTGTAATTTAAAAATATCTGAAATATTTAAGTTTTTATAATTTTTCGAAAATTTATGTTATGAGTTATATGTGATTGGGGTAGGTATATATAGAAAGTTTAAATACCTAATTTGATTGAACTCTATATAATTAATTGCTTTTACTCGATTTTATTTCTGCATATAATGTCCGAGAAAATGCGGGTAAGTCTTTCTATTTGAAGCGCAAACAAATCACGTTGAATAAACAATTACCGTTATTGTCATACACAACGGTGATGTGCATATGACGTGAAACTTTAAGCGCAAAACACAAATCAGCAATAATAATGTATGTCATATTAAATATGTAACATGTATAATGTACAAATATATAAGCTGAAAACAATTACAGGTTTTTAATCAAACTGTTCCAGAATTCGTAAATATACCGGTTATGTAAGCCCGTATAATCCAGCTACAAAATATCAATCTTTCTTTGTCCTCTGTTTTATATCTTTGACCTACGTTAGTAATTTATCACCCATTACATCGCGATAAAAAAAAATAGTAATGACCACGCCGCCAGATATTTTCAATGGATTACGTACATCATAATCATAAAGACAGCATACTCAATTTTTATGAGAGAAATACAAAAACGCCTTTTGTTTAAATTTCCATTGATTGAATGTGTACACGTTATATAGTTACGCATCTAAATTTTTTCCAGTTGCTATAGTTTTACAAAAAAAAAATAAGAAAAGAGTTACGGTATCTGAACAAAAATCTAATTCTCACGTAATGTTTCACTAATATCTTTTTATTAATATTCTTTACCATGCTCATAGGTTTTTAAATTTTTTGTCTCTTCAAGATGTCATATATTATCTACAAAATTTTTCGCATGTTTTAAGAGTAAAATAAATATCTGTATTGTTTATATTACATGAGTGAGTAATAATAATTTTATAATTGTAAAATAAACTTTTTCAAACTAACTCATATCTTTCAATATATGAATATATATTATAATTAACGTATAAATATACCTAAATATTTATATAATAACATAATTATTTAAAATGTGCAAAATTAAATTACACTAGAAAATTTAAATTTAAATTGCTTATCGATCTTGAATGATTATATGTCATCTAATCATGTAGAAAAATGATACGATTCGATATACAGAATGCGATGCACAGTTTCTCTCAATAGTTATTTTTGCGACGTACGTCGTAATTCTTCAACTTGTTTAATGGGATTAAAACGTATGTGAAATGCATTCATACTAATTAATAAATATGATAGATCGTGTTTTTTATACCTGACATATTTCTCATCGAGAAATATAACTCGAAAATAAAGATTAATTAAACTGCGAAAAACTAGTTTGTTTTCAACTATTTGTAATTGGTTGCGTTGTTATCATTTTAATTAATACAGACATCTGATTTTAATACTAAATGGAATGCATTAATCGATACCATTTTTTATAAGGTCAAATAATTTGTAAATACAATTAAAACAAAGACAAATAAGAAAATAATAAAAAACAATGAAACGCGAAAAGAGAAAATGTATTACAAATTAATCAATTGTATTAAAATTTTTTAGTCAAATCTGGTTTATCAGAATGTTCTTAAGGGATTTATAAGATTTAAAAAAGCTATAATCAGAATGTAAAAAACAAGAAGAATTTTTAAGCCTACTTTAAAATCTGTAATTCGTGTCAGAATAAAATTCTGTTTGAGATTTTATGTGCCGCGTAATTAAAAAACATATGAAAAATCAGAATACAACGTATATAAAATATATCAAAATATAGATTAAACTACATAACAATGTGTATTAAAATACACACATATATAAAAATACATGATAAAATTATATATAAGTAAATAGAATTCTATTCCGAAATGTATTCTGATGCAAATTGTAAATTGTTCATGTGGCTTTTAAGAAATTATAAATGTTAGTTATGGTAAAATTTTGTCATAATTAAAATCACAAATATTATGAGAAATGACAAAAGATGATCTGTCATTTATTACAATGGAATTTTGAAAGATAATATGAAAAGTGACATGAAAAAGCATCGATAGACTCGAGCTCATTATTCATAACAATTATTTTTAATGCTCAATGATTATACAAGGAATATTATTAACAAATGTGACGACTATTACTGTTATTACAGATATAAGGAAATCTTATACTGTAGTAAAAAATTCTGATAAAAGATTCGTAATACCGCACTTTACAAAATCAGAAACACTAAAATAAAATACTTTTGGACTTTTCTTCCACAATTAAAACGCAAAATATATGTTATTTCAATAATAAATCAAAAAATGAAAATCCAGTTAATTACAACACAATTTCATACTATTTTCGAAACAAATTGCAGAGAAACGCATCTTTCACGTAGGACACGGACTTGAAAATTGCCGAACGCGCGAATATCTATCAGAACAAAGAAGGAAACGAAGAGGAGGATAAGGGCGACACAAACGTGCATAGTGTACAAAAAAACAAATCGTCGAACTCACCGGGTTCGAATTCTTGAGCGTTAGTCTCAGATGACGAGAGACGAGCGGGGATTGAGTGGCTCGCACGTTACGGCGGTAATGATGCGAAGTGTGGCGATACCGAAGGACCCTTTATATATATGGGAAGCCGCCGTGCTTTCGACGGGGGGATGAAAGAGAGACGGTGATAGAATGAGAGAAAGAGAAAGAGAGAGGGTGGGCGCACAGGTGGCCGCTCGAAAGCGGCCACGCGGTCACGGGGCGCAAGCGTCCTCTTCTTGCCCTGCCTCGTTCATCCCTCCAACTTCGCTCACCCCCATCGCGCGAGGTGACAAAGGAGGTGGAAGGACTTACTCTCTCTCTTTCTCTCACGCGGTCTCTCGCGCGCGAATTCTCTTTTCCGGAAACGTTTTCATTAAGAAATTGTTTCTCGACGGCGAGTCGCGAACGGGGTGACGTATAACTTGATCTCGATGACGCTCGGCGGGATAGCTTCACCATCAGCTTGTTAATATCGATATTTAAGATGTCTGGGGAGATGTATATGTGAAAAAGTTGAAGAATGAGATAGAGAGAAGGTTCAGAAATTTTTACGATCAGAGAGAGACCTATCGATTTTTTAAAGGTCACGTTTCGTTTACTCGATCGTAGAACACGACGCAATAATGTATTTTTAAAATGTGATGTATTTGCCATTCTTTAAAAAATATCTGGTGCAAATAACTTTGTGTGTTTCCGTAATTGAGATATATAAAATATTCTACGGTTCGTAGAATTTCCCGCCGATTTCTGAGAGAAATATTCTATGCATTAATATTCTTTTCTTGTATGACGTTCATAGAGAGCGTAATTATATTCAAAAAGTTACGTTTGCTTTTTACATATAATTTTATCTAGAAATAATTTTTCTAGAAGTAATAAAAGGTTAAAGGCGTCGCTTTTACGTTCCGTGAAAATTCTGACTCGGTTTTCAATAGCATTACTGGCGCATCTCTGAATCTAATTGTACTTCGCGCATTTAGACCATTCACAAATCACACGAAAAGATGAACCCGGGACTAGTTTTTAAAATTGAAATAACAAGAGGCGCTGTTTTCATAAATCTCCATTAAATCGCGTCGCGGCGATTTTTCACGCGCGACATCGCAGTATTATTGTAAGGTCATACATTTGAAAACATTTCAAAAAAAATTTTGCCACATTGGGAAGTGGGACGGAGAGACTCACAGTCGCTTGTTTTATTACGCGTGTGATCCTAGTGATCCCTACAAGAGAGGGCCATCTTCATTAAGGACTCCGACGGCTCCGTGTATCGCGGCTGCCGCCAGACAGTAACGCGCGGAAGGGTGGTTTTTATCTTAACGAGATTGACCGCGACGTGTAACATGTTTTCTCTCTTTCTCATTTTCTTTTTTGATTTTGTGCCGTACGAATCTTACTTGGCGGTGTGAGAATCAATGTTTCGTCTAACTAAGGGATGAAATGAGTTCTCGCGCCTTTGAGGCGCCAGACTTGTGTCGCGAACAGGCGTCGAAACGAAATAGATATTTGCGCGGAAAATTTCACGTACGCGGACTTTTAAATTTTCGGACACCGAATTGATCTATCTACTTCTCTCATTGATAAATCAAGCAATATAGATTGTATGTTTTTTTTTTAATATTTTATCATAAAAATTGTGAATGTGTCAACATACGAACTTGAACTACCAAATAATATTTTAGGATCAGATGCTTTTTAAGTAATACATTTTGGTAGTTTTATTTCTTAAAAAAAATTTCGAAATAAATCATTTTTTGTCGCAATTTGTGTTATCGTAAAGCCACATATTTTTAAATTATCTTAAATTAAAATATTAAATTTTTTAATTAAAACAGCACAAAAGTAAAGTTAAATTTAAAATTAATAAAATAATTAAATTTTAGTAAATTTCTTAATGTTTTATCAAATTTAATTCCATAAATCTTCCAAACTTTCAAATGTTCTGTTAAAAAAGCATTTCTGTATACATAAAAGGAAGAAAAATTGGTCCATATTTTAGTTCTGCTCAAAATTAATTAAAATATATATTATTATAACGTACATTTACGTATATAGTATAAAGAGCGAATTTTTTTTCTTCCCCTTTCCTTTCGTTTTTATTCTTTTTTAAGTTTGATATTTAGTCACTTGCCAATCACACGTCGAATCGTACAACACATAACTATATGCCAAAAATTGCGGCGCAGTTCACAATTGGTCCTTTGTTCTTTCTTCCGTGTGCATTTCACTTGTTCTCACGGTACGAACATCTAAATTAAAAATCTACATTCAAAAGATTTCACTGTATTTTCAGTCATTCATTCACGCGGAAAATTCGCTTGTCAAATCATCGAAAGATGAAAATCTCTAACCTTTCCATTTTAACCAATTTAAAAAAAATCTCTTTCACAAATCTCAAATTTCCCATCGTTTTAATTATCGATTCGTTATACGTTTTTTTACATTGAAATAGAATATTGTACGTTATCTATTTGAGAGATATAATATTATAAAAATGTTTAAGACCCACTTTTACATTAATTATCATTGACTACATTCTTGATCCGTGATTATAAAAGGTGATTAAAAATGTATTAAAAATGGAACTTTCATAAAACTTTTCATTAATTGGTTTACAGCTCCAATTAATTTTTATCAAAATTTTGCTTGCAATCTATTCGTCCCATTTTTAATTATTAAAATTTATTATAAACGATTGTCTCTCACTTTTCGTTAAAACAAAGATCTGGTTGAAATTATTTGACTTTTCGATTCTTACAATCTACGTTTGTGTGTTTCAATATTGCATACGGATTAACTTTACGAAACTCTTTAGTTGTTTTTATTAAATAATTACACGCCATGCCTGAAATTTTCTATTAAAAAAAGAGATTAATCTGAGATTCGTCAAGGAATTTCCTACTAATAATTTGAGCTACCATAACAATGAGGAAATAAACGTGAATTTGACAGTTATTATCCGGTTATCAAATTGCATACGCAACCGAGTATTCCTCATTTTGTCTTTGAAACAAGATTAACCATTTTAATTATTTCGGCCTTTGAAGACTTTGCTCTGAGCTTGCAGAAAGCAGACAAGCAGATAACCGACGATGTAATCTTGAAATCCTACAATTAATGAATCTCGAGCCTCGAGGTATAATATACTAATAATGAATCCCACTAACAATAAGTACGAATAACCTTTTTCGAGCAAAAAAGGATTGAAAATTTACGTTCTGCTTTTACTTGCGCATGCAGGATACCTAATTAAATTCATGAAAGTGGTCTCTAATCAATTTTTTAACTAAATGTTAATAGATAAAAACCTACAAAGTGCCTTTAACGGGCGAAAAATTTAAATACGAGACTACAAATAAATAAAAATTATTTAATAAATTTTGGTAATTTTTATTTTAAAATTTAATTATGAAAATAATTTAAATCAAAAATTTTAGTGGAAGAGTACGTGTTACTTAATGCTTTCTTTCTATAATGCAAATCGGATAAAACATCCTATTGATCTATATGAAAATTGGTGGGCTTATATAGCCTCGAAAGCATTCTGCAATTATTGACGTAAACAGTTCAAACATCTAATTATATCAAACATGATAATTTAGTAGAAGCATTGTGCTCGAGACGATACTTGATAATAATTGCAATTAGCTGTATAGTATAGGCATTATTATACAAATATATTCTTCACGATCTCTAAATATAAAAAGCAAACTCTGAAATTAAAAATACGTCGCGTAATTGAGGAGTTATAAAATGTAAAACTGTGTCAATGTATAAAAATATTTAACCTTTCAAATACACACTTTAAATCTTCATTTTTTCCATTAGATCCTCTAGCGACTAAAAGTTTTAAACTCAGCACATGTTTCTGTAATTCCTGTCCACATTTAAAAATAGTTGTACAGATTTTCGTCGCATTTCAGATTATAAAATATTAAATTTAATTTCTTTTTTATAAAAACATACCGAAAAGGTTAAATAGACCAATCTGTTTCGTCATCCTTTAATCATCACTTACGAGATTGCATGGATGTTTGTACTCTGAGCTTATATTTATTTTTGCGTGATGAACGCAAAGTTCGGTAAACACACATTTTATCTAGTCTAAATGAAAACATGCCAAACGAAAATCTGATTCTATTGAAATTGTTGACTCCTTTTTAAAAGTATATATAGAGGGGTAAGAACCACGGTGGTATAAGTCAATTTTTTTTAAATATTTTCTCGTGTGCATAGATGCGATTTATATATTGTACAGATTGCATTTATGCATATGAGAAAATATTTTCAAAAATTTGACTTACACCACTGTGGTTCTTACCCCTCCATATATTTACAGAAAATGCATTTAATGTTTACCCAAATAAATTCATACTGTGAATAAAATATGTTCGCGCGCGCGCGCACACACACACATACACATTGTATTTCTAAATATTCTTTGGTGATTTATCCAATTTCTCGAATAATATAGATTCACAAATGTTGAGAAAAATGTCAAGCTCTGATAAAAAATTCTTGCGGTCACACGACAGTGACACGGAGTGCTAGCTTTTAATTACGTTAATGAGCAAAGTAGTAGTCGCATAAAATAGTTAAATTACTTTCGCCGCGGTAATAGTTAAATCGACGAACATTAAAAAACCTCACGCAGGTCCGAGCGTTAATAACTTTCGGAACAAATCTCTTGAGATTCTTGCCTCTCGCGTTGGACTAAACTATTCGCTGTTTCTTGTACGAAATAACTTGCGCTCGTGATAAGTATAGCAACAAGCGTCCAGTTTGCCTTGTAGCGATAAATCAAGCTTCCTCTGAGAAACTCATTAATTGTTTTTTTTTTTCTTTTTCTCCCTGTGACCGGAGGAATAATCCTGAAATTTTAATAACGAGTCCGCCGGCTGGTGTCTCGTGTAATATCGTCCGACGTATTTTCGTTTCTCTCTTCTTTATTCGTTCGGAAACACCGACGGGAGACAGGAAACACGATTTCCTGACGCGCGGAAAAAAAATTCGGAAAATAATTACAACACAAGCTTTGTGTCTTAGCGCGTTATCTTAACTTATATTAATTGTACGTGGTTGC